TAGAAATACTCCTAGTCGCTTCATGCTACAGAAACCGGGATAAGCTCCGGGCTGATGGGCCACTTGGCTCGCATGCAGACTTTACCTTACCTATACTCAGCAATAGGACAGTAATCAACACTTACTTGTTCTTCAACTCTACGACTGCTTGCACGGTACGATTGTTGTAGTACAAGTTAATGGTTCGAACCTGACAAAAACCAATAATTATAGTCTTATTATCGTCACTCTGTCACAATCTGTATATACATTGTAATCTAACACATAAATGGTTAGTGTGTGGTTTGCTAACAAAATCGCCTTAGTACCTCTGTCGTATAATCCAGTAGTAAATAAACTATAGCAGTTCTTAGACACTATTCCCTAGATGCTAATCATTCTTTGGAAAGCAGTTAGCAGCATACTACCATTTTCTGCCTTTTAAGATCTGCAATCCTGAGGGTAACTCTTGAAATTGTGTGACTCCCTATCAGCTTTACAAGTTGACATGTTGTGGTGAAGCGAGAGTCTCCTTTGATGGCAGATAGCTTCAGGCTCTGCAAAATACAAATTACATGATTCAAATCCAGATGACCTCTGCTACTAGTGCAACACAAAGAACTACTTGAAGTACCATATTATGATCATCTGAGCAGAGAAAAAGAAACATTGTCGAGCTGTAATTTATTTCAAGAATCACACACTGAAAAGATTGTTCAAAAAACCGGTAATTAAGAATTGTTAACGATTTGCCACTCACCTGGAATGGAACTTCTGGATTGTTGCAAACGAGGCAGGGATCACTCTCCAGGTAATATCCATCAAATTCAACAAACCCTGACAACATCCTAAAGCAAGAGACAAAAAAGGCCTTAGCTGTGATCAGTCAATTTACACGCCACTACATACAGTGCAGCCTGTTTATGCCTGTACATATGACTTTCGTTTCTCCAAAGAAAGAATAAGAGATATTATGAACCACCAGCCCCCCGCCACCCCCCCTCAAAAAAAAAGAAGTTCAAAAATGTTGTTGTTTAAAATGGACAATCCGCTAACCTACACCTAACCAGTTTACAGGCATGCCACTTAAACTGAAAGAAACAAAATTAATATATCGACTAAACATAACGGGCTTAAAAAACCCAACTGGTGGAAAGCACACCAGTTAAGAGCTGCGGAGGGATTAAGATTTTACATGAATCTAATTAACATGCACCAAAAGACATGTCCTGACCTGTACACGTTAGAATTCGGATGATTAGAGAGAACATTATTCTGTATCATCAATACTTGAACTGCTTTCACACAATAATCCTGCAACTGTAGAAAATAAAATCCACCTATAAGTACTACTATTACTGCTGGGCTGTATCTTGTTGATTACTGCTTATCTGGTCAATTAATAAGTCATTATCGTGCCACAAAGTTTCTTCTCTTGCATTTCATAAATACATTCCGTGTATTTACAGTAAGAGAAATAGTATACATAAGTTTGTATTACTGAGAGTAGGGGCTAACCAATTACTAATTTTGTTGAATTTCAACACTTCTTCAAGTGTAATGGTACTAATAATGGAAGAATGATGGGATTTCAATCAGGTCAGGGCGTTTTCTTCTTAGGCAAGCCTGTCAGATTGCCTCTGCCTCGAATGTGTATTTACTCCATCTTATATTTTATCCATATGAAGTGACTCTGTCCCAGGTGAAATAGTCAGTTGTTACAGATTTTCAATTTTTCAAACATACACGTTAAGTGTAGAGGGTCCATTGTACTCAACGAAGTAGATCAACATGTTATTTTGCAAAAAAAAGTGCAAATAAAACGTACCTCTTCAGTATTTGATTCACACTTGATCGCAAAGTAACCCAGAAGATCAACAAACTGTGCAGCTCGTCGACCATAGTCTGGTAGATAAGGCCAGATTTTCCACATCATCCTTGATAGCTTCACTTGCTGGCTGCTGGTTGAATACCTACAGACACAAGCAAAACAACTTTTTAGGTATGAACCAGTACTTTTCCACTATGTGTGGTACAACAGAACTTATACAATACGCCTATAAAACATGACAAAACAGACAACTATCAAGGTGTGAATTTTCACTCTTCACCTCAGGACAATGAGGTGAAGACAAAATATAATGTATAGATATTCTTAGATGTTTTAGTTCATATTCTTTTTATATTTTATATTTCTCAATTTGTTGTTATTTTTATCCAGGTAATTTTTTTCAGGACCCTTCTGTGAACCACTCTACTGGGATGTTGGTATCCTCACTGAAGATTACTACTACTACTACTACTGATTTCCCCACATAACCACAGACCGGAAATTTTAAAATACAAGTGCAATGAGTGAAGTGGACATACTTGTGCATGCTGTAAAGCAGCTCATGAGCCTGCCATCGCACAGCAGTAGAATTAGACTCCAAAAGGAAGGTCTGTACAAACTGACTCATCACCTCATCATCAACAGCTTCATGCAGCAACTGAACCAGACTTTGGGCAGCAGCTGTATGTACAACGTATAACAATCCAGATAAATTAAATTATATTTGATGCATTTCCTCCCCCTTTTCATTGGCTGAGACACCACCACGTGACCTGTCTGCTCATGCGTAGTACTGTCTAAAGGTGGTTTGATGCAAAAAAATATTCTGTCCAATATTGGTTAAATAATTTAATGGAACATTTACATAAATAAGCCACGTGGCCAACCGGAGCTAAGCGTGGATCTGAAGTTGTGTCAAGGATGATCAGTACAATAGAAGGACAAAAATGTAAAAAAAAAAAAGACTGTTTTCTGATAGGGTAAGGGTTTCAAATTTCTCTGACACCTTTAAACTGAATGTTTGCATCAAATCAGCACTCTTTCAGCAACAAATCAACAAAATCGTCCAGGGAGCATTGTAATAATGTGGTTCGTGGGAATTCACAGGGTAAGGTACATGTAGAAAGATACATGTATGATGCAATATGAGTGTTAACTTTACCTTCACTCCTCCCAGTGTCTGCTGACCCTGTAACAATAAGAACAATTAGTTACAGACATTTGAATCATCTAATCTAATGTTATACGTGATGCCATAGAATATCTGAGAGCACATGGCCCAGTGATGAAGCTTAGAACTCGAAAACATACTCACTAAAGAAACTATCTGTAGGACAGTACCCGCTGAGGCGATGCTACAGTGTAACTACTTCAGCTATAAATGAAACCCTATTGAAAGCTATTGACCAGTACTTCCATGTGGTGCTGGGTGTTTGGGAATACTTCGAAAAGCAAAACTATACCTGAAGTCTTCTCTTTGTCTTTGTGTTTTTCTTTCTCCTTTTCAGTGTCCTTGTCTTTGCTCTTTGATTTATCTTTGTCCTTGTCTTTCTTGTTCTTTTGCGGAGAACTTACTGCCTGTGACTTGAGCTCACAAATGGCATAACCCAACAACTGTAACATCAAGGGCGTCACTCCCTCTTCAAACAAGAAGCTGCTTCTCAAGAGGAACGGCAGAGTGTCTGCAACAAAATATATACCATCACTCTCCTCTCAATTGTGCCATATTATATAGATCATGTACCAACTGTTGTTTATTGTCCTACAGGATTCTTAAAAAGTAATATTTCATGGAGGTAAATGTGAAAGAAATTGTACCAAAAATTTACCAGTTCACTGCTATGTTATAACAATTATTGATTTCGAGATTACAAATTAAACAATCTTTGTGTTCAAATGTGCGCTAATGCTGCAAGTATCAGGAATACGCTTCGACTCCAACTAAAGAACTATTATTTAAAATCAATGAAATCCGGCGGTAGTTACCTGTTTCTCGCAGGCAGAATGCCTGCCAGTTGCTGATACGACTTGACGCCACTTCAGAACAAGCTTTAAGGTGTTCAATCTGTGAGACATGGAAATCGTTAATCTTCTGTAAGCAAGTACCAACTCAACTGGGAACCCTAGCAGTTACTCTTACACAAAGTTCAACTGCGGTAACAGTAAACCATCTACTAGCGATATACAAGTATCAAGCCATTATTGGAGATGCACAAGGTTATGTTCAAATTGAAGGAAACCTTGCAAAAATATGTTTACATGATGTAGAAAACAAACACACTAAAGAGATATCAATAAACAAAACAGCAACAAGGATGCTTAGCTCCTTTATGATTACTGAAAATTCTGAATTTACAAGCGCATTAGTACCCCTGAATTAAGATTAATCAGCCAGCATCTCACTATAAAAGATAACAAACCAGTAATTCCGTATTACATGTTGACCACTGGCATTTACTGTTTCCAATCCACACAGTGTAGATAAATTTGGAGTACATATTAACTTAAAATATCTCTGATAAGGTAAATGAAATGCCAAAGCAAATTTGAAATGAAGGACGGTCCGTTGCGTATTCATTTATTTCAGTAATACATCGGAAAAAGCTTGGCACCGTAATATACACTGCAAAGTACCGATCTAAAACATATAGCTACGTTCTAAAATTTGAGTCTTTTTGGTATCGCTTTGATGAAAGGAAAGGCTTACAAACAACCACGTTTTCAGATGACCACTTTAAGACTACTTTCAACGGTTAACTCACGTACATAGCTAAGTTGAAAGAAACAGAGGTATAAGGTCTGCGATATCTTAATTGGGACTCCAACACATTGATACAACGTAGATGCACAAGAATAATAACCTCTCTGGTGTTCATTCTCTTTCTGACAAAAAGTGAGATAGAAAATGGACACCAAAAGGTCAATTACTACCAATAATAGATTTCCCAAACAACAGCGTTGATAGCTTTGTTCAATGTGTGGAAATTAACCAATGCTACCAAAGAGGCTTGAAATAATGTAAGGCATTTGCAAGTTATTTGCATTACATAACGATGTAAAGAGCACTTACCAGTGTGATAAGAGTGTCATATGGTAGATTGACTGGTGGATTGGTCACATCCTCGTACCTAAAACCACCCTGCTTGCTAAGTTCCCTGTTGATATTAAATACCGTCCATTAGAGAACATTAGATCGGACGACGAGTGGGGGATTGAGTACGACTTTTTCAATCTACCGCTCAAGTTTTCAATCGTCGTGTTTCACATCAACCTTCTAACAACAGTCTCCTATTCAACACGGGGAAGTAAAGGCTTTGGGAACTTAACTGGATTAAAAGTCAAAGTTCGTATTTGTCTTGCTACCTTATGATCCTAATTAACGAATCGTGCATAAAAGCTGATGCTTCTAGGTTACAATCCTAGTTTCTGAAGCCTCAGTCATTTTCCTAAACTTCAGAAGTTTGGAACGCTCCCTCACAATGCCAAACAATTTCATAAAGTCCATACCATGTTTTTTTGAAAGGACGACAACAAAAACGATTACACGTAACAAGTGTTTTCAAGGAAATGCTTGGAAATGTTTCAAAATTATGTCTTCAGTCGTCCGCATTATTTTACCTGCTAAAAGTTATTTTCAATGCCATCTCATGTATAAACTCTGAAATTCGACTTGACAAACAAGAAGGTAATATCCGAACTGTACCTGACAGTCTTCATGTGTGATTTGAGGGCATGCAGGTCCCGCCGACTCCGATAGCTTTCCTTTGATCCACATAGGAACAGTAAAAGCTACAATGTACAAGAAAAATAATAAGGAGAAAGTTTTAGTTATCAGTCTCCTCTTAATCATCGCATTGATAATCAATATCATTCTTTTTTTAGTCTATACTACACACTTTTATTTCAATTTGGAGTTCAATACGATTTTTTACGATAACTGCAGAAATTCTCGCGCGCTCATTGGATGATTTTTATTGTCAATAAGCAGACAGACACATGAATTTATAATTTATGCGATGCGTCAGCGAGCGAGGGCGGACAATTCGCCAATTTGTTATCGTAAATCGCCTCGTGGATCCACAGTTACTTTAAAAATGTTATGACGAAATTCATGATCAATAACAGGACAGACGCATGAAAAACTGACGTCAATTTGTTAAGTAGATTGTTCCGCATTCAATAACCTGCCTTTCAAGGAATTTTAGTTTTGCAGTTAACACCAGAACAGAATTTTCTGATTATAAAACCACTCATTTAAAGGAAATTTCCAGAACAACTACAGTGTACATGTATGCTACCACAAGCTTGAACGTTTTTTCCAACAGCAAACATTACTAAAAGGATAGTCAAACAATACCAGCCTCATACTGAAACAAGCAGATAAATTCGGCCTCATTTTCCATTAACGGTAGTCAACATGGCTGCGCCTCGTTGTTGATTAGATAATAGGGGACTTTAGATTTGAGTACGAGTGCGAGATCGACTTTTCAATTCTAGTTTGCAGGCGTCACATTATCACATCAGATACCCATCCCATCGCATGAGCTACGCCCCCTACATAAAACATGAAGAACGAGAGCTCTGGAAACGTCACTGGTTTGAAAATCGAAAATCGTGTTCGTACTCAATCTCGCACTCGTAGTCCAATCTAAAGCTCCCTAATGACTCTTCACTATTAATAGTGCTTGTAAATTACAACGTTTCTGTAAAACGAAACTTGTTGCACTGAAGCAAAAGAGATTGGTTACTGTACCTTCCTGACTTGTCGTCGGACAAATGGGGTTTGTTGGATCAAAAGATACTGTAAAAAAATATAAAATCTTACAATCAAACTGAAACTATAAACATGTTGTGTTGTCAAAGTGTTATGTTAGACTATAAAATAAGCCCTTCGTAACCACAAGGAGATTACTACTAAACTTAGTATTCTTTTCGTCAGACTCAAAGTAGTGAGCTTTTCTCGATTGTTAATTTCTACACCATATTGGAAAACAATGCCCTGCTTTAAGACGACAAATTTAAACCATTTGATCATGACCGCTACATAACCATAATGAAACTAAGAATATCACAAACAGCAAGTTTACATGAGACTAAATCAAAACTTTGAAATAAACTTGTATTACAAACCTCACACAAGAACTGATACCACTCGTCATCAAACCGTGGAGAATTGTCAAGATGAAGAGAATCTGCAATTTTCTTCACCTGCAAACAAAACTTTCACATCACAATACGATATATAGCCGTTGGTTAAAAGATCTTACAACTACTGGTGTCTAGATCCACTAAATGTGCAGTTACTCCTCTCGGCTCTCTAGCCGATACGTGATAAAAAGGATCCACTTCACGGACCGACAGTATTGGGGCAAGGGCCTAATACTAGATATGCAGGTAAATGTTCTAAAGTAAATCCGTGGCATGGTAATTAACCTAATAATAAGCTCCAAGTTGTTAAACTAAGAACTTTTGTTTGGTGGCTAAAACAAACTATTAGGGTATGTCAAATAAAGCAAACAACAAAAGGAATACTAATTAATAGCGCTAGCCAATAACATAAGCGTTTGAAAGAGCTGCTGAGTGAAAGAAAACTAGTTGCGGGCTTGTTGACGGCATTTTGTTCGCACAGTATGATCAAACATCTTCAGATTGAATCTATGGCCACAGGAACTTGAAAGGGGGCATGAATATCACATTCACCTGATAAGGAAGCCTCAAAGCCATTTCGGTAAGCAGTTGTGGATAAGCTTCAAATACATCTCCTGCATGGCCCTGTTTGCAAAACAACATTCACAGTTAAGCGATATCATAGATATTATTTGGTAAAACAACACACTAGGTTCATAACGAATATAAAGCCCACAGACAATAGACACTGAATGGTGCATCCCACAGAACTAAACATATTGACAAGTCAAGAAAGCTTGAGAAACAAAGAGGCTTCAATGGGATTTGTTACATTGCCCTTTTGTGAATACCATTAGCAATCCTCTTTAAAAAAACATATCAAAGGTCGGTCAAAAGCGATGTCAACTAACGGTACACTGTACTTATCAGTATACAAGTCGCTTACATGCTTTTATCATGGGCTCCTAGTTTTTGGATTATATCATTTTTTGCAAAAATATTTTTTTTCAAAACCTCAAAGGATTTGATATTTACATTCTAGTTAGGAGAAAGTCCTCAAAGAATTATCACAAACCACAATTCTTACGAAACACAACACACCTTGACATACTGTCTGAGAAAGAATGGTGACATATCTGGAGGAGGGCTGGTGGGGTGAGGTTTGAGCAGTGCACCGCCAATCCCTGACGGCTCCTCCTGGATAAATACAGGTAATTAGTAACTATTTACACACATTTAGGCAATTTCATTATCCTCCACGAATCAGCCAATTCTACACGTATACAGTCAACATCGGTGTCATTCTTTTTAATCATATGCAATTGTAAGCGCATTGAGAATTCTAAATGCGCAATAGGAATCTTATTATTATTATTATTACTATTATTATTATTATTATTATTATTATTTCTAATCATTATTGTATGGGTGGCTTGATTTATTACAGTTACTTTTCCTGTAGACATCTCTTTTAAACCAAGAAAGAATATTTATCCGTTAAGAATTTTAGCACACCTTACTGTTGAACTTGCAAAAAACATAATGAAATACCTGAACAACTTGCCCATATTTTACCATTCACATTTCTAGCAGGCGAAAATCAACGATTGCAATAAATGAAAACGTAAAAAAAAAAACATGTGCATATGTGGATGACAAACAACTTTCACGCACAATGTTAAGCAAAACGAATTTAACAGTGTAAGGAGAAATTCATACATGGAATTATGGTATAGCTTCCGGTTTGAATATACAGGAAAAGGAATGCAGAGCTTACTTCTTCATGGCTTGCAACCTCTCTCCAGTGCTCTAACAGGGTCTTGAGAATTTCTAGACAATTACTTATGATGCCCACATCACATAACGTGGCTGCTGTCTGCCTGCACACCAGCGAAGAGGCCTTGAGGAATAATACAAAAGCTCATTATGAGGTAGAGCTCGATACATAATGGATAACAATGCGCAAATATTTCACCACAGCTGCTGTAACATTTCTCAAAATCAATCTTTACCTCAGATCCACTCTTGGAATTAGTCTTGGTTCTTGACATCAGTACACTCAACAGCCTCATGATGATCAGCCAGACTTCATGTTGTTTGGTGCGTGATGAAATGTGCTTCACATCCTGCTGAAATACAAATAATTCTTTGTCAGTCCAAGGCAGTGAGAGTAACATGCGCAAGACATATGTTTTCTGTAACAATTCTGTTCCCTTCACATGCTATATGGATTGCATACTTGATCTAGACAATGACCTAATATATTACCGACTGAGGTTAGTCTGTTATTGGCAAAAAAATGGTCATCAAAATTTCTGACGGGCGGATACTACACATGTGTCCTATCTACTTTGATACATAAATTCAAGGAGTTTACATTGTGCTATTGTGCATTATTAAATTGGAATTATATTCCATCCAGCATGTTGAAAACAAAGTTACCATCTGATCCAGTTTCAGCTCTTCTAAGCACGTAGACAACACTTTACTTAACGCTGCCCTGTCTCTGTCATTGTCTTCCAGATCAGAACTCAACATGAGCAAGACCTGAAATATAGCCATATGTCATATACATGTTGATCACTAATGGAAATTTGCTGATAGATCATGATAAGAACACACTTGTGTGATTTTGCACTGAACGTTTCATCCAGTTTGCTTGTAAAGAGGCCTTATGCATGTTGACATCAGACTGGCAAATTTCACCACCAAGCATCGCTTTGAAAATGCAAATGGTAAATTGTAGCATGCACACAAAGATGATTTGGATACCCACGAGTAGAGGTGCCAGACGTTTGAGAACATTTCATGCAAACAAGGCTAAGTGGTAAAATTTTGAGCATATGATGCAATCATGTACAAGACTTATTGTCAGCGGTATTGCATAAAATAAATCAACCACATTGTTCCACTGCTGCAGCAACACCACTCACTTAATTTATAGATCGAAGAAATCAATCTTAGATATCAAAAAAGAGTGGCAAACCTGCATGAAAGGTATAGCCTGTACACCACCAACTTCTTTTAACTTTGGAAGATGAAGCAGCAGCTCATCCAGAAGAAGCAACTTTAAGGAATGCAACTTTTCTTGATCCATCAGCGATTCTTTGTCTCCTGCAGGATGGGCTCTTCCCTGCTCTTCATCTCCATTACTCCTACTACCAGGCTGGCTCTCTAAAGTAGCTACAAACAACAGCAGTCATTCAACCAACAACCAACTCAACCATTCAATGTGCACAAAATGTTTATCTGTCTGTCATGCCTAATACAATGATACACATAATGTAATTTCCCAGGAAGGTTGGTTTCCATGACATAGAGCGGAGTACAGCTTCTTCTCCAGGCCAGTATACTTCAGTCCACTACATCCCCCAACCCTGCATTTTGTCTCACTGATCATTCACACATTTTATTTACCTGGGTATAGAGAAACACCCTATGGGTGGCCATTAAAAGTGACCAGGCATCGCTAGATCTGGAATATAACTAAGTATATATTAAGCCATAAAAACTCCTCATTGTTTTAGCAGCTGAACGTAGTTGATGATTAACCAATTGGCACGAATCAAGGATTTAAGGAAAAAGATTTTATTAAGCAAGATTTTATTAACTTTTTCTGTTATCATTCTAACCTGCCTGCTCGCTATCCATAACAACAGTTTCCATGCTGGTCCCAGTCTCAGCAGCAACAGAGTCTACACTACTTCCACTTTCAAACTCAGCTCCCCCATGCCCAGTATCAGGTGGCAGAGGAGACCTGGGGGCACTGTGACCTGCAGAGGAGCCCTGAGCACTACCGGGAGGTACTTCATACTCATCCTCACTCCCCTGACCTAAGGAAGAATTGCACATTACTCATTCTTGACTCTGGAAAGGACAAGACACCTTCGAAAATTATCTTTTTAACCACAAATTTATGGAATTTATGTCCACTATTTTAACTACTGTGATAGCTAATTTGGTTTGAAATTTGCGCTATTCAAAAAAAGGTAATTTGGAAATGTCGTATGAGAGAAAACATGTAGCATGTCAATTTGATGCAGGTCCTTGAAACAGAAACAATTCAATGTCAACGTCAATATAATACAGCCCTAGATCTAATTTTAGGTTCATGTACATGTGCATGTGATATGCAGTTTCTAGTCTTCAAGCCTGCACTGCTTCCAAGTTTTAGTCAACCTACTTCCTTCATCATACCTGAAGCTGTATCTGAGGACACCCCAGCCTCGACAGGCAGTCCAAGTGCCTGAGCGCCAGGTAGTGGCAAGCCCTGAAGGCTAAGACCTTGTGCACCAGCTTGTTCCTGAAGACTTAGAGCAATGGCAAGCTCCACCATGGCTTCATCGTCTGCATCAGGAGGAAGATCTAGCATACCTGGCAGACCACCAGCACCAAGCAGCAGAGCTTCAAGATGACTGGCAGCACTTGCTATAGAGGGTACTCCTACTGATGGCTGGCTCGGTTCTTGAGCAGGCACCTCTGGAGCAACCTAACGTAGCATAAAGAAAGATTAGTTTGGATGACGTGGCCCATTTCTAATACTATACAGTAAAAAAAATAGGCATAGATACAACGTAGATGGGTTACCTCATTGACTTCAGCATCTTGCTGCCTCCCTGCCTGAGCTCCCTCTGCATCAGTTCCATTTGACTCTTCAGGGGGAGTTTCATTGGCTCTGTCCTGGTCTCCATCATCATCTTCACCATCAAAGTCATCTCCTCCAACTCCTTCCCCTGTGGGGGTGTTGCACCGAGGAGTGGAGTTGCCCATTCCATGCCAGTGTTTGTGTATCAGGCGCATGAGGGCTTGTTTACATGCAAAGCTCACTGACTGATCCTGAGGAAGCATAAAAGCAGCGATTTTGTGATCCAGAGTTGCTAAATCCCACTTTCATAAACAAGAAGCGATTTCATTGACTATGGGAACCAGCCAGTGAATCTGGAGTAACAAGCAACAACCATTCCACACTCTTCATTGCACTTCTAGAAAATCAATAAGTCACATTAAATGAACCCACATACCTCACAGAGAAGCATTTTCACATACTGCTTGACAGCTAGTCCAACTTTGGAGGGATCTGCTATTGCAAAGGCATGTATGATGTCCACAAGAGCTGTCACTGTAGACTCCACATGTTGGAACCCTAGGATAAAACTTTCCATTACCTTCAATACCAATTTTTTTGGAGGCAATTCAAACAAAGTTTAATAACAAAATGCAACCTTACACAATATGTATTGTCTTCTTCGTCAATAAAAATTTTATTTTCAATCTATAATACTTGATGACCAATGATAATGATTACTTGTGGCAGAAACAACTATTTTGCCCAGGCATTGAGAGTAACGGTGTTTGCAATTGTCCAAAATGGTCGAACGGTACTCTGTGCATACAATTCCTGAAACTGCCGCATCCAGCATCCAATAGACCTCTTTAGCTTGGGCGATTTGTTTTCCCATTGTAGACCACGTGATATTCTCTAGAGAATTTTTCTTTTATCCATCTTAAAATTATTCATCCCTATACATGCGACTATTTAAAAATTTGAAAGCAGGAATTCTCAAGAGGATCATCATGTGGTCTTTAATGGGAAAACAAACCGCCCAAGCTAAAGAGGTCTATTTCTCTTTACTGCTTTAGATTCATCAATTATCACTATCCTTACTTGAATTTGCCAGAACATACTACATGTAATTATTGTTTGGGAAGTAAGAAATGAGAGCATAAAAACAGTTTTCCTCAAGGTTACATTTGAGTGTTCTGAGTTTATCAATCATCTCTCACCAATGGAAGACAATGGTGATAGAACTGGGTTGACAGGCTGGCAACTGTGAAGCTTCCAAAATGCATTCATCAGGCACACAGCAAAATGATGTGTATCATCGCTCTCTGGCAAAAAAATAGCAACAAACCTTTATTACTAGTCTCATGATGCACTTTCGGTTTACAGTATAGCAACAACACAGTTATGCCATATAATATATGGCATATTGCATATTATGTAAGACATTTCTTGTATAACTTTGTCAAAAATTCTGAGGGTGCCAGAGTTCATGAGTAAAAAAACTAATAAAAAACACATGGGATCCTTTACAAAAAATTCAGTGGCCCATTTACAGACTTACCCTCTGCTGTTTGCTGTCCAGGCAGGGTGGTATATTTTGCCAAATTACTGGGTCTTGTATTGGCCACAGATCTGGCACTCACCACAAGACGCTGAAAACTCTCAACATCAAGTTCACTAACATTTACTAAGATTTCTTCAGTTTCTTCTTTCTTCTGTCCCTCTGCTGCTTTCTCTTCATCTTCCTCCGCATCTTTTTCTTCTGATTTTGCTTCCTTTTCTTGGCATGGACTGACAATTTTACAAAGGAAGTTTACCACTTGAGAAAGCTGTGCCTGATCCTGAGAGAATGGAAACAAACATCAGTAATCATTTACAAGTAACTCGTCTAAGATATTATAAGAATGGCCTGGCACATTTACACAAACAATACAAACCAGTTAAAGTGGCCCTTGGTGCAGAGAAGATTCTCGAAACATTTTGTCTTTCACCATTCTGTTCTATCAGTATTATAGTCAGAGAATGCGCCAAAGATCTTTTAATTCATGGCCTTATTTCATTTAATTAGTTTCACCAAATATAGCAATTAGGATCAGAACACCCTTACAGGGTGGGTGCAACACCCACAGCCAATTGCTGCAAAACATCACCTTGTGGCTGTGGTAGGACATTTTGGATGGATGTAGTGTGGCAAGTAGTGCCTGTGCTTGATGCTGAACAGTGGATGGCATAGCACTAGTCATAAGTGATGTTGCAGCATCAAGTGCAGCCTGCCTTGAGACCTCTTCCTGAGATACAAATGTAGAAAAGCAACCATCTACGACCTCCAGCAGGTGGACTACCAGTCTACAAAGAAAACAAAATAATTATATGTTACATTTTTAAGCTACATTTTGTAAAGATAATGGACAACAGACACTTCATGTTTACACAGGTTGATTGAAAAACTCAAGTGAATTGAGCAGAGCTCAGCTCTCCCCTAAACTCTGTCTTTTAGCAATATAAACATGAGCACATTTTTTTCTAGTTCCTAAAACATACTTTTTAAATTATGTACTTTATTAAACTTACATTGACAGAATAACGGCATACATGTTAGAAATAAACCGAGTCATACAACTGTATGTTAGACAAAAATAGAGCTAAGTGTGATATGGGATAGATGACATCAGAAAAAGAGCCAGTGGAAATCTAAATTGTCATACAAACTTACTGTTGGTAATAGCTAAGAGGAAAACATGAAATTGAATAGCTTTTGTATTGCAGTAAGTGAAAAGTAAGGACATACTTATCAACGGCTGTCAGTGGGGGAACAGGATTGACAATTTCTGTCTCTGTGTCCACAGCAGCTGCAGTTCCCAGACCAGGCGTAGAAGGTATCTCTTCCTGAGGATCATCAGGCCAACCAAATGCCTCTTTTGTCTTGGTATACACCTTCACTGAATCCAGCATGGTCACTCCTGATGGGTCTAAAGACTGGCCAACTGACAAAAATTTTAAACTAGTCGTTAATTACATCCATTAAACATGTATGGCTTGTGTTTGTAGCCAATATAACGCACACTCTGATCGGCTAATTCTAGAGCATTATTCTCCCATTATTAGCCATCTTGTGACTAAGTGAAACACCCCTAAGCAATGCATAAAGATAATTGGCAGTGTCATTCCAATTGATGTAAAAGGTAGAACCTGACTCACTGATTTGTTGCCAGGTATGTTCATTTTAGGGGATGCTATACTAGACAAGTTTTTTCTTGCAACTTGTGCTGTAACAAAAATTGCCTTGTGTAACATTACCTTTTTTATGAAAAGTATTTGATACATTGCATATGGTAAAAAACAAATGATGTGCACAAACTGAACAAGGAGAATTTCTTGTCTGCAGTTAATGACTCCTCTCTTGTAAATGGAAGATCAAACCATCTGTTTCTTGTCAATGTCAGTTGAATTACTCTCCCAAAGATTTCCACAAAGGACGGGGCCTTTTCCACGGACTGACAGCCAATCTGAATTCTCACTCCAACCATGACAACACGAGGATTAGTGTTGGTGATCTCAATATTGAAGCCATTTGGCTGCAAATAATAATAATTATTAATAACAATTAGCCAACTGGTCTGCCTCCTGCCGGTTGGAATTTTTAACTATGTTACGTTTATTTGAAATATGTTTCCTTTGTTTCAGTGTCATGCCTGTAAACTAGCTAAGCTTGGTGCTTGTATAGCTAAGTGCACGACCACTATAAACAAGATTTAAATTTTACAGTTACATTATTTTACATAATGGTTTATGAGCAAATTTTAGTGAGTTAGCTCTTCTATGCTAATGTACGCTAAAAAAATACAACTACCTTACAATAAAGACTAAAAATAAAATTAAAAAGAGTTATACATGCTGAAAAACATTTAAAAAGAGCTAAAATTAAATAAAAAGTCCTTCTTCGGCTTTTCCTTTAAAATGTATGTTGGATCAGCAATTGAACTCATGCATAAAACAACAGAATAAAATACATCACACAATAACACCAAAATCTATCATTGTTACTACAAAAAACGAAAACAAAAAACAAAAGCAGCTCTTCTTAATGAGCAAAATACGCTATCCATGCATACATGCATACACTGTACCTTGGTACTTGCAATATACATTCCAGCAGTCATGAGTCTGTGCTTTGCTTGTTGCACATTATAGACTTGGAGAATATCTCCACCTCCAAACTCTACCTCATTTAGAAGTGGTTGACAGTGCTCAAAGAAATCAACTGGGAAACTAACAGTGGTCGATTTTACTCTGGCTTTACTGGTTTTCTTCTTGCGAACTGGCTTCACTATACTTAGCGGCCTGTATATGGAAAACAAATGATTTAGGTTAGAATAATTATAATAATATCATAACAAGCAAATTTCTTTCCCAAGGTTTTTCTGATTCAATGGATTCATTTGCCACAACAAACACAAGGAAACTTCAACATTTTAATTAATTACCATAAACTGCCAGTTACAAGCCCTGGGCTTATACAACTTCATAGGTCAATTAGGTTAATTTAATACCCAGATTCACGACGCTAAACTCTAAATTGTTACACATATGGTAGTTGCGATTTAAGACAAGCACTTAGCAGTCCTAAAATCTATGTTCTATATTAGTGTAGCAAACATAACAATTCAAGTTCTGATCAAACATGGAAACCAAATCATAGCAGATGCACATGCCTAAGTTTGTGTGTATAAGCAAGCCACTGACCTCACAGGTTGGAACTCGGGAGCCATCCAGTAACCAGTGTGTTCTGCACTGGCCATGAAAACACGGAGACTTCCATCTTCACAAAGAAGAATCATTGTAGTGCGTTGTTGGTCTGATGTGTTCACAGAATGCCGGATGGCCACCATATCCTGGGTTTTTGCTTTGGATGATGTGGCTTTAATCTCCTGAATCTGTTAAAACAACAAATAAAATAGTCTAGTTACCACAAACTCTCTGTTACTTGTTAATGCAGGAAGTGAGAGAGTTTTCAGAATACACAACAACATTGATGGTAGCTTGTTTCCCTATTGTGATCGAAGATGTCCTGTGCAGTAAGAACGATGCTTAAGTCAGAACATTTCACAACTACAGTAATTCATTACCTCTAAAATAATAACCAACAATAACTGGCCTGTATCATTCCCTTTCAATCCTCATATCGCTCCATGTGAGCCATGTAAATTTGATAGCAACAAAAACAATTGAAACAGATAAGGTTTTGGTTGTACCAATATTTGATGGGGCTTGATCATCAGCACAACGGGAACACCAGCTGTGTGTGTCAGACAACACACAAGACCAGGATGCTGTGGCACCTCACTCCACTGACACAATGCAGCAGACTGTGAGTTCTTATTGCTGCCTGAGCTACTCTTTAAGGTCACTGGAAACATCTTCCTGATTTCCTTTTGGTCTTTACCCCACGGAGCAACGAATGTTTTACCTACAAGAAAAAAAAAAACAAAAAACGGTTAACTACACAGTCAACCTTTGTCATTAAGCAAGGTTTCCAATAAGAGCTAAAGGGTGGCAAGGCACTTTACATTTTGCTTGATCTACTTTTAAAAATTAACTTAACCTGTATCAGTCACCCTTTCTATCAACTTGATGTGTAATTTTTACTGAAAACCTTTGATCCATAATAATCACCAATGGTCAGGCAAAATCCAAGACCACATTTGGACACAAAAGGTGCATCCCTTCTGATTAATAGCAACCATGGACTGTGGTTGAACATTATGCTGGTTGGATCCCACCGACTTGTTAGAGATGCATGCACAGGTCTAGCCCCTGCAGGCTCTGCTCCTTAATTCTATTATCTGCTATTGTTTCCATCACAGTACCTTGACTGTAACTGAAGAAGATCAACTGCAAAATGTGTGAGTAGTACACAGACACTCCACCACCAGCTACTTGGCCATTGGAGTCTTGTAGATCAGGATGTTCAATGGGTAATGTATTTGTCAAATAAAAAGGACCATTTATTGCACTGCTGGTGATGTCCATGGGCTGAAAATACAACTGTCCCGCTGAAGACATTAGTATCAAACTGTGATCTCCATCGCCAAAAATGAAACTGACATCTCGGATCTTTCCACTTGGAAGCAGGAAGTAATAGAGAGGACTCAAGGCATCTTGGGACAGGTCATAAATCTACAGCAAAGAGTACATTTAGTAATTAAACAGTGAAATATGTTGATTATCTCTTCAGAGAAAATGCAAAAGAGAACCAACTAGAACTGCAACAACTTGTATAAAGCCCAGGAAAAATGAAAGCAAGAGTTGCACATTTCCAAGAGTTGAAGAATGAGAGCTAAATGAGTGTTTCCTCTATTGGCCTCTACCCAGACTCTCTTTGGGCTTATCACGCAATCTTCCTTCGCATGACGACTGGAAGGAGTGTCTGCATAGGAGACTAGGTTTCCTGTGACTTAAAATGAGTATAGCCCAAAAAAGACTCTTAAGATAAATAATATTCTAGCATATAATAATTGGATGAGAATACACAAGAGTCTATAAAGGTTGCCATGAGTTGACAAGAGTTTTAGTCCAAACAAGAGTGAGACTTTAAATATTTCTTGACCCTGGTCTTCATTTGGTTAGTCCCAAAATGTTACCTTGACAAAGTCGGCAGTGACAAGAGCCAGTTGTGTTTGTGATCCAGGAAGCCAGACAGCCTTAATGATAAAATTACCAGTCTCCAGTTGAGGATGAAGGGCAAGGTGATCCACCACAGACCCTGAACTGCTGAATGTCAACACATGACAATCCTTCAACCCACACACTGCTAGGAAGTCCTCATTACAGGGGTTTCCTGCAATAGACAGAACTGTGAAGGGTACCTGTGCCGTGGCAAGGCGTGTCAGGGTTAGCTTTCTCTTGCTAGAGTCAGCTTGCTTTAAAAGTGCTGACAGCTGGAGCACTGTAATCTAAACGACAATTGAAAAAATGTTAGTATATATTACATTCAAAGTTAATAAGTACTGTTAATAACAGTTAATATTGTTTATTCAGTTGGACCATGGAATCTGAACTTGGTTATTTTGAACTTCCTGTTATTTCAAAATTATTTCCCTTGAATTTGTCATTGGTTTTTCAGTCATTTACAAGGGTGTATTTAACTCCCTACTACTAGACATGAATTTTTAAAGTGATCTCTGTTTCTGTTGGCCTTAAATCAGCCTGTTCGTGTAGATAATGTGACAACACAGCAAAAACACTTCAATTTGACCTGTTCATCGCATGTTATTCTTGTATTATGATTAACTGAATGTTCTCTTTCAGCCCTTGGTCAATAAAAAATTACAGGCAACCTTAACTATAAAAGTGCACTATGAGACATGTTTTGCCCTCATATTACTTCAAATAAAGACTGTACTTGTACAGTCTATAAGGCTTAATGCAATACTACATGTACATGTAGATATTAGTTTCTCCCAAGTGGGTTTTTCACACCTAATTTACATCAATAAATAACTGATGAAAACTTATCAAAATCACAACAAAGTATTAAGGCTAATAAAACAAGGCTTTTGCAGATGGCTGAAATACAATGCTTCAATGATGAAGTCATGTCAAATAATGGGAAGCATCGTGAGTCATTCAATCATGTCATGACCTGGTCATTTCAAACCCCAATATTTGGAAGCTTCACAGGGTGTTAGGCCGCAGTCATTTACCTTGCCCTTTTCATGGCTAACAGCAAGATGTTGTCTGCGTCCCTTTGGTGATGCCAAGCAACACATGGCCACACGTCTCAGAACATGAGCACCAATCAACTGCCGGATGGTTTGACCCTGTTCTCCACTGAACGTCATTCGCACATTTTCAAATGCTCCTTCTTGAGATCCTAAAGTTGGAACCTGAAATGGAAAAAACAATTTATTAGAAGTCTGCTGTTAGTAATGGTGAAAATAAATAAATAAATAAATAAATATAAATAAATAAATAAAAATAAAATAAATATACATTTATATAGCGCCATTTTCCACTAATTGTCCATGGTGCTTTACAATACTTTAAAATTAAAATCCTAATTCTTTAAAAACCTAAAATCCTAAATCCTAAAAGTTAAA